CCTTTAAGATAGCCCGTCGGGCAGAGTGGTGATACATTTTGGTAGCCCGACTGGAAAACTCAATAGCCCCGGGACGTCGGGCTAGCGATTTTGCGAGCCCTGTTTATCTATGATATCCAGAACACACATTCTTACATTTGAAATATTTGTGATATTATCCTAAATATCCCAAATATTGACAAAATTAACTCTAAATATTTGTTCCCAATCACACTGCTCTCATTCATGTCTCAAAATATAATCAAAAATAATTTAATAAAATATATGAAATAGTAATAATTAAAAATAGATACTAGATACTAAATAGATATTTAAACTCTTTAAATATTTTATTCCAATCACAATGCTTATTCATGTCTCAAAATAAAATAACAATTATTACTTTAAATAATAAAAATATTTGAAATGAAGAATATAAAAGGAATGAAATTAAAATAATAATAACATAAAAAATAGATCCTTAACTATTAAGATATCCAGAATAGACATTCTTACATTTTAAAACCTAAAATAAAGCACACCGGTTTTTTTTTCATAAAATCAGATGCTTTGTCAAAATCAACCTTAAACTCTCTAAATATTTTTTTCCAATCATAATCACACAGCTCTCATTCATGTCTCACTGTGGACAGTGAAATGGCAGAACCCTATTCTTCTGCCATCGGGCCATTTGGGGGCTCAGCAGGTGAGCTGATAGAGGGGCAGATGGTACACTACCTCTCCTTAAAGCATTCTGTGCGTCCTGGGTCATAGCATCCGCCTCGTCCAGGATCACCAGCTTAAAGCCTTTCCTACAAGAAGCGGTAAATTATTTTACAACAACAGTAAATATTTTAATGCAATAACAACCTAAAGACCAGGTGTCATTCAATAGTTGCTACATGAAAACGACATTCTTAAACACCTGTAATATATTGTTGTATGTGAGAACAGATATTATATCATACAAATTGTTCATTAATGGGATGTAAGGGTGAGTACTGTTCTTACTTGAAGATGGTTCGTGTGCTGGCAAAGCTGAGGATCGGTCCCCTCACCACGTCTATGCCACGGTCATCTGACGCATTGAGCTGATGAAGTAAAATACACAATAGTTTCCATTACAAAAAAAAAACTTTTTTTTTTTTACTGAAAATGTACTCACCCTCAGACCATCCAAGATGTAGAACAGTTTGTTTCTTCATCGGAACAGATTTGGAGAAATTTGGAGGAAGCAATATTATAGACAGAGGACCCTATTTTAGCCGGAAGCAATGATTTTGAAGTTAAAAATTTCTCGATGGATTTGTTCATTACAAACATGCAGCTTTTCACTTCACAAGACGCTAACTGATGGACTGGAGTCGTGTGTATTATTGTGATGTTTTTATCACCTGTTTGGACTCTCATTCTGACGGCACCCATTCACTGCAGAGGATCCATTGGTGAGTAAGTGATGCAATGCTAAATTTCTCCAAATCTGTTCTCATGAAGAAACAAACTCATCACCTTGGATGGCCTGAGTGTGAGTAAACTTTCAGCTAATTTTCATTTTTGGGTGAACTATTCTTTTAAATGGATGACCACATATGTTTTGGCATGGGGAGAAATTCATCAAACATATGCATTCTTAAAACATCTGCAGACAAACTTCTACAGTACCTCCAGGACCATAGAGTTGAACTCTTTATCTTTGTACAGCTGTTTAGCACATGCTAGTATAGTAGAGGTCTTTCCTGTTCCTGGAGGTCCATAGAAGAGCAGATGAGGCAATCGTTCTTCACTGATGAACTTCTGGACTGTGGAAGAAAAAGAAAGTAGATGTTTTAAAAAATGTATGTTATATATTTAAGTCTTCTGAAGCCATATAGTTTTGTGTAAGTACCAAACTGAAATTCAACATGGATGCAACTGAATTTTAATTTTGGGTAAACAATTCCTTTAAGGACACTTCTGTAAATCAGTATTACAGTGCAAATATTAATTTATTAATAACAATAATGGAAGAGTACAATTTATAATCTGTACATATCATTGCTTACTTGTGCTCAGGATGTCTTGATGCGAGATGAGGTCGTCTAATGTCTGTGGCCTGTACTTTTCAACCCTGAAAATCAAGAAATATTATTTTTAAAACACTTGTTTTATCATATTGTTTAAGTCTAATGGAGTGACAGCAACTCAAATAAACGTTCTTAACTTTTTAAAATGACCCCATATTAACATTACGGTATTACTATAATGGCATTAACTGTCATAATAAATAGATAGTATTAATAAAGAGTTTATCATTTCAGAAATGTGCTTTAATAAGGACTATTTTGCAGTGAACTGACTGATTCACTTGAGTTATCATCGCTTTTCTCCATCAATATGATACGATGTCAGCTGTCATAATAATAATACAGGTCTGATACGTTCTTGTGTATATATTGCATACATACTACATGACGAGCTTAACTACAGCCCATAGTGGTGTAATATTCATAAATTCATATGGACAAAAGTGGAGAATAAGCGCAATTCAAATGTAAACAAAGCAAACTTGTGCAATGCTGCACATGTCGGCTAAACAATGTCTCAAGTAACATAAACACCTTTTAACTATCAGCTAAGAACACAAGATCGAAATTACCATGGTAAATTTCTCGTCTGAGGTTGTGTTTTACTTGTTGATGCCATTCTCTTTTATTTTGTTCAATCAACCCCGCGATGTGCTTTGGCGCGTTTTTCTGACTACTACACAGAGATGTCCGTCCGGGAACGTCGCTTGCTTACAGATTCTCGACCAATCAGAAGCGCGATTTTAATGAAGGCGGGGTTTAACGAGGCTGTGATTTCATAATAAGAGTTGAAGAGAACATCAAAGTCACTCTTCGTTAGCTGTGTCTACGATATGCTTGGTGCCCTCCGTATCATTTTTATGTATGAAAAATGATGTATTCATCAAAAAGCAATTGTATTCCCTAATACGATATTGGAGCAGTTACTGTAAGTATTTAGACTAAGTGTTCACGCAAAATGATAATGCACATAAAGCTTTAGCAAGGGTGATTTTTATTCAGTGTTGCTTATTCGAATCAAGACAAGATTTGTTTGTTGTCACTCCAGCCATACTTTATACAAGTATACAATGAAAATTAAATTATACAGGTCTGCAGTGGAAATTAAAATTAGTTACTTAAAAAACAGGTAAAAAAGTAATGGTATGGCCTGGGCTGGTTTGCTGGTCTTGGCTGGTCTACTAGGTTGGTCTGTGGCTGTTAGACCAGTGCAAACCATCTAAAACGAGTAAACCATCTTAGTCATGCACTGGGTTGTATTTAACCCAGCATTTTTTAGAGTGTAACATTGATAGGTGAAGATGATGCTTGTCAATTTTAAAGTATAGGCTGCACTTGGAAATGCAGTGGGGCAACTTTCATTTGACAGGCAGTTCAACTACTTTTTATAGAACTTGAGCATATAAAACAGTGGTTTGATTAAAAAAAGGTTCTCCGAGTTCAAACAGTGAGCTCACTGCATTGATGCTTATCTCGCGAGAACTCTCTCCCCTGCTTGTGTCGGCGATGCGATGCTGATGCTGTTGCTGTGAATTTGATTGACGCGAACATGTCGGTGTGATGGGGAGCGCCGGGATGCAGCTGATGATGGTCCAGAAGGGGAATACGTGCAGTCAAATCAGACGTTATCTTTAAGAAATAACACCTAACGTTCTCCTTTATCATCTATGACAAAGATGTCTCAATTTGTGTTGTATTTCTCACGCGCGCAATGGATCTAGCTGATGCCACCGCAGCGAGGATCTGATTTGTATTTTTTCCTTCCTTCCTTCAATATCTGTGTATTATGGTAGAGTCAAGCCGGAGCATCAAACATAAACTGTGCAACCCTGATGACAACTCCGTCAGGATATCAGAATATCAACAATGGAATCGCCTTACAAGTAGAGTATAGTTTTTCATGACCACACACCATTATTCGTGCTTTCACGAACGCACTATCTAAATTGATTTAGCGAAAAAGTAGCCTGCACTTAAGAGACGGACCGCTGCTCACAAATTATGGACGAGGAGAATATGACCAAAAGCGACGAGCATCATCTGAGTTTGCAAAAAGCCTTGCAGCAGTGCGAACTGGTGCAAAACATGATAGACATTAGTATCTCCAGCTTGGAAGGTCTGAGGACCAAATGTGCCACATCCAACGACTTGACACAAAAAGAAATCCGAACGCTGGAGGTAAGCAAGCATCCACTTGCCTGAGCCCAAATGTAAATGTTGCACCCCAGCATTTCTACAAATGTCACGAGAGTGCATGCACATTAAACAATTTCGCATCTTTGATCGTGTCTTCAATTAAAGTTGCATCTCGGGGATTGACTGTATTGGCGTAATAAACGAAGAAGCTCGCGCTGCAGTGAGAGGCGCGAGCTTGCGCATTCTGCAGGTGGTGAAGAAGGTGGCTCGTGCGCTCGCGCTGCTGACATGGACAGCGAAAGGGGCCTATTGTTGACATTAATTTATATCCTCATTTTTAAATCATCCTCGTCATTAAAACGGTCGTTCGTACAATATAAACATGAGATTGTTTTAAATTGTGTTATGTAACCAGAGGTAATGTCCCAGATATTTTCTTTTGATATGATGGTAGTATGTTGTGTTGGCTATAGTAGGCTACTGTAGTGGTCGCCCAAATATGTTTTTTTTTTCAAAGACCCGATAGCTAGATCTGGGTGACCTATAATGCTTTTTAAAAACGATGGCAATTAGACTTGAGGGAGAACGAGAAGTGTTGTAACGCTTTTTGTTTTAACGTCTTTAACTCTTTTTGTTTCTTTAGTTAGGCTATGTGGGATCGGAATCGATTCCGATTATTCTAAATGAAGTGATTCGATTCGAGCTACTTTTGTTGAATTTTGCAGCTCATGTTGCTTACTGCCTTGAACAGCATGTTGCCAAATGATGAGATTTCAGATTTCAACAGAACAGACTATAACAAAACAGCATCGAAATTCTACAAAATTTGCGTTTACACAGAGACATTTAACAACTCTTTAAAACAAGCCTAAGGAAAATAAGATAACATAGGCCTATTCGTTATTTGTCTAGCCACCCCTGTATATATATATATATATATAGGCTATATATGAATAATTTGTAAGTAGGCATCTACTTATAGGCTACAACAAATAATGCTAACCGGACGAAAGTATTAACTCACTGTTCAAGTGAGTCAGATTCATTCAAGAACTATTTATTCAAAAGTGTTTCTTTTGCTAAAAAGAGTTGGCTCATAAAAGTAATTCGTCTGACAATTGGACACTACACTCAGGGGTTAAATTGGGATTTGTTATGTGTGGGGGGGGCTCTATGGTATCGAGTTTTTATATATATATATGTGTGTGTGTGTTTTGTTTTTTGCAAATATGATTTATTCTGAATCAATATTCTCATCAGTTTTCTATCAGCTGTGACATAAATCTGTATGTTTTTTATATTTTATCCAAGGGCATTTTTTTTTACCTTTATAGAGGGCATTTTCCCACTAATCTCATTAATACTTTCATTTCAAATTCTTACATTTGATCTATAAATTCAATTATAATAATGTGATTATCTATACGTTATCAAATTAAATAATTTACACTGAAAAATACAACTGCATTAAATAATATTATGAGATTATTTTAAATATTTTTGAATATACAAACAAGAAATGATGGTGGAAATGATACTTTTCAACGAAATTAAAACGCCAGTAGGTGCCAGTAGTGAGCGTTTAATGAGTGAGTCATTGAGTCGTTCATTCAAGCGATTCGTTCAAAAGGCAGAATCATCAGATGTTTATGCATGGGCTAATGAAACTTTGACTCAACCGATTCGTTCAAAACACGGAATCAATCAGCAATGAATCGGCTGGTTGCTGTGAGATGCGCTGT